CTTTGTGACCAGTAGTAGTGGAAGAGGGTGTAATCCTTCAGGCAGTCTCTTCTGGCACCCTCTTGGACTTACACCTAAGGGCAAGTGCTCCCCTCACTATGCCTCTGTCATCCTAGCAAAGAAGATAGATATTCAGTTAATTAGATTATGGTATGACAACTGCTATAATCTAGGTAAGATGAGGATACTTTGGAAACACAGAATACTGGCATTTAAATCATCCTCAGAGTCACAGATCCTAGTGAAGCCCTGAATTACAAATAATTGAAGTGGGGGGCAGTGATGGCAGCAGGGAGTCACTCAGGCTTCAGATATAAAGGCTAGATCTTTGAAAAATTATGTTTGAATTTGCAGAGTGTTTTAATTATAAGTGACCCAGAACTCCCCCTCCCTACAACTGCTGAAGTGCAGAGAAAACATCATTATTTTCTAGTCATGCTCCCTTGATGTATTAAAGAAAGAAACAACCCAACAAACCCATTGCTGCCCAGTCATTCCAACTCACAGTGACAGAGTAGAATTGCCCCATAGGGCTTCTAAGGGTATAAATCTTTATGGAAGCAGATTGCCACGTCTTTCTCCTGTGGTGTGGTTGGTGGGTTCAAACTGCTGACCTTTTGGTTAGCAGCTGAGCACTTAAACTACTGGGTCACCAGGATTTTTTTCCCTTGATATACAGCCCATCACAAATTATCAAGAATTCAAGCTCCATCTTTCCCATCACATCTCTTCATAACTCTACTTGGACAAGTAGAGTTATTTTCTTACTCTTCATTTAAGAATTGAGAGAGATTTTGTCAGTTGTGGAGTTTACGGCAAGACAACCACTAAATGAAAGCTGTGATGCATATGTCTTCATTGCATGTAACTTAGCACAGAGCAGTCACCTATTCTATTTTGGAATAATACAGAATCCCACTTCATTCTTGCTCTGTTACTCAAGCAACATGAGTATACTCTACTATAAAAAAAAAAAAAGTAGGAAACTATTTTTATATATTTTAAAAATTCACTTCAAACAGCAAAACTTTGAACTTTAAAACTTCCATCTATGGCCTCAGGGTACAGTATTTTTCATTCTTTTGATAATAAGATTAAAATAGACCTCATTCCTTATATTTATCAAAATTGGTCTTGATTAAAAATAAAATGATATGGTAGCATTCACTTTGGTTTTTCAAAGACCAAGTAGATTACTATTTTTATTATTTTAATTTTTTATTGTGATTTAGGTGAAAGTTCATTGGGAAAACTGGTTTTCCATTCAACACTCATACACATTTTATTTTGCGACATTCACTGCAATCCCCACAATTTAACAGCACTCTTCCTACTTCCTCCCTGTGTTTACCATTTCTTTTTGTCCTTCTTTCCAATCCCTTTCTGCCTTCTGGACTTTATCCCTGGACAAACATTGTTCTTTTGATCTTGTATGGTTAATTGATTTAAGGATTGCAACTCCCTGCAGATATGATATGTCAAAAGATAGACATATCTTGATAGTTTTCAGAAGAATCACTATGTATTTAGGTACTGTTCACCTTATAAGCCTGTCTATCTTTTGACTGAAGGTTGAGCCATGGGGGTGAGTTTAGTTTCAGGAATGAAGGATGTCTAAGGATCATAATCTTGGGAGTTCCACCAGTCCCTGTCAAACCAATAAGCCTGGCCTATTTTTTTTTTATTATTGAGTTTTATTCCACACTTTTTCTCCCACTATTGAGGACCTCCTGTTGTGATTCCTTTTAGAGTAAGACCTACTAGATTATTGAGTAGCATATACTTTTAAAATTTGTCAACAAGAAATTAGAGTAGTTTTAAAAAATACATTCTGCTTTACAGATATTGTTTACAGAGATCTATTTAAATATTCAAAAACTTCCTTCCTCTTTCTACTAAGTGATTCTTCTGAAAACTATCTAGCATGCTTCCAGAAAAGAACACAAAAGATTTCTAACTGAGCTTTGTTCACACTGAATGAGGTGGGAGGTAGCATGGGTCAAAATAGCCAAGGACATGTAAGAGCGGGAACATGAGTTTTGAAATTAGAAAACTCCAATTCCAACTTTCAATCTTCCTTTACTAATTTTCCTCCTCAAGACTATATGAAAGGAGCTTTGGTAGCATAGTGCCTAAGGCACTTGACTGCTAACCAGAAGGCTGGCAGTTCAAACCCACCAGCCGCTCCTTGGAAGGAAGATGGGGCAATCTACTTCCGTAGTGATACTGCCTCCAGAAACCCAAGTAGGGGTCACTATGAGTCGGTCCGACTCGACGGCACATAACAACAAACAAGACTATATGAATAATAATCAAGGACGACTAGAATGTTCTGAGGCCTGAGTCCTTTGAAGGATGTAAAACATCACACATATACAACTGCTGTTATTAGGTGCTGTCCAGTTGGCTCTGACGCATAGTGACCCTGTGTACAACATAATGAAACACTGCTCGGTTGTGCACCATCCTCACAATCCTTGCTATTCTTGAGCCCATCGTTGCAGCCACTGTGTCAATCCATCTTGTTGAGGGTCTTCCCCTTTTTCACTGGCCCTACAATAATGCACTATAATTATTAGTAGTGATATATGGTAATAATGTTTTCCTAGGAAAATATAGATAATGGGTTTTATGAAATGGCTCTAGGAAATCTATTGGGTGAGTTGGATATTCGAATGGAAAAGCCTACAACAAAAGGATCACAGTAATTCAAACTGTAATTCATAGTGAAAAATCCTAAGTAGCCACTCATCCTGTCCATTCATTTCTTTACATGATGGTAGAAGATCTTTCTTGAAATGACTTAATTTTAAAATATCTTACCAGTAGGAATATCTTTCTAGGAAATACCTGGGACATAATGAAGAGAGAATAAAACAAATATCTTTTATAAGTCTTTGTTAAATTCTTCACCTCAACAAAAGAGTATTTTCATCTGAAAATTAAAAGTTAATTTTCTTCCAAACAGGGAAAAAAATGAGCTTCTATTACTAGTATTATTTGTTGGGTTTTCTCAAATACGTGGTAAGGTTTATTGTTACATATTACAAATAAACAAACAAAAAAGGTGTATTAGTGAATCTCTAAGCTCTGCACAATATTAGTAATCTATTATGGAAACTTTATTTTTGTCTTAAAAATTTATGAATTATTGTTTCCATTTCTGACAGGCATTAAAATCAAAGAATCATAAGTGGACATTTTAATAACTGAAAAAGTGAATAGTGGTTATCATGTGATTGCAGTTGTGAAAGACAACCGTGATTGGTTACACAGGTAAGTGTATATATAAAATATCTCCTGAAGAGGGCTGGAAGGATATGTACGTACCAGCTGCTGACAGCACTTTCCTCTAAGGAAGAAAGTAAAAGTGTGTGCAGGGTCAGGGATGATGACTTTCTCATTCTGCTTTGAATGCTAATGTTTTATTTGAATCTCTGGAATAAATATTCATATATTACTTTTTTTTTTTAAGAACAAAGAAAAAATACACAGAGGTGACCACAGTATGAGTCACTTATGCCTGTCACATCATCAATGATTCCTCCTAACAGTGACTGGACTTCTGTAATGGCCACAAATGCTGTCTTCCAAATGCACATGAATCAAAATATTAACACCTAGTAAATATTGTAAGAAATACAGCTTAATTCATTTATAGTTGGGATATATATACCACACATGCTTACAACAGGCATGCTTGATTTCAAGTTCTCTGAAATGGCATGATGTGGTGCTTTGGAAAGGTCACTCCTGGTGAATTAATGTGACCAGGGCAGGTGTGATTTATCTTACTGAGCTGCTCCATTGCACTAGAAATGATGATCACCTTTTTATCCCTCCTCTCCTCTCTTTTTTAACTGTTTGACTTATCTGTGAAAAATCCAAAGACAAAGACATTCAACTGTGTACTCTTAAGTCAAGGCCAGTGCCCTTTAAAAAGTTGGCTGATCTACTGCCCCTGATTACCTTACAATGCTAAGCCCCAGCAGAAGGCCTGTCAGCAGATTTTATTTACAGCCCTTGAGGAAAAGTCCTCTTGCTGTTTTCACTTCATACAAGAGGATGTTTGCGAAAGGAAACATTTGGCAGTACTTCAGATGCTCACTGTCTGGTAGTGTTGATAATGCAGTTCCTTTTGTATTATGGTAGCATCTATAATGCTGTATCACTCACATTTCACATCATGCCCAAATGGAACGTATTTTTTGACTGATCAGCCATAGCTCACACAATTGCCTGAACTGCTTAACCTTTTCCTTACTATCAGTTTAGACTCTGGCCACAGACTGATTTTATGTTGAATTCTATTGTAGAAAAAAGTCATGCTCCACTTGGCAAACCTATAAAATGTCCCTCACTCAAAAGGTCACATGAAGGAGATTAGTAATTATAAGCAATTCATAAATATTTAGCATGTGTTGTAAGGGAATGCCAAAATACCATGAAAACAAATAATATGCAGATTTAAAATGAATGTTTTCTTTTAACTAATAGTGTCAGATTCACATGATCTACAAAAGCCTCCAAGTAAAAACTCTATTTGTGTAAGAGTCACACTTGGTCTAAAAGAGCTCTCAAATAAAAATGTACTCAGGAGGACTAAAGCTATAGGTAGTTTTTTTTTGTTTTTCCCCCCCTTTCTAATAGTGGGGAAAAGTCTATTTGGCTTAATACCTATAAATTGTGTTCTTCAGCATGTAAATAGCATCCCGGAAATGATATAGGTTCTCAAGCTACTGAAAAGTTGTTCAAAACTGCACAGACCAAGAGATAACAAGTAATTTGAGGAAATACTTATAAAATCAATATGCTAGCTATTGTTTGGACTAATTCCCCCAGGTGAAGGACCATCTTCTGTTGCATAGCTGAGCAGTGTAACCAACATATGGTCAAAAGTGACACACTTTGGAAACAGGCTTATCTATTATCTATTTGGAACTGTAATGAAAGAAAGAGATTGAGGAGGGCACAAATGAAATTAAAAGGCATTTACTCACTGTGTTAAAATTTGGAAAGAGCCCAACAGCAGAATTACTGTCCACTGGGAAAGACATAAATGGTTTGATATCCAGTGAAGGTTGCATCATCAGGGTAGGTGTGCGCATAAGAGCAGGAAGGGTAGTAGTGTGGCATGTACTACCTGCCAAGAACAAAACAAAAATCAATTCAATATCTTGTTTACATCTATCTTCCTCCCAAACCTACAATGCCAACATAAGACCGCTGAGGCTCAAACTGCAAGCAAGAGAGTTACACTGAAAGTAAGCAAATGGTGCAGAAGGAGTAAATACAATTAAAAAGGATCTTCTTCCTCATTGCCTAAGACATTGGAGCAGAACATTTCCCTATGGTAAGGGTCAGGGCTGCTCAGACTTGGCTGAAACACAAAGTGGACGGATTCTGCAGTAGGTGGGGCAGCATGAAGACGTCCTGTTGTCTGACTTGTGGTCTTTCACCAGCCAAAAACTCAGGCGAGTGAAAGGGAACAGACTCTAGGAGCCAGATGTTCCTTCCTATTCAGTAACTGAATGGCTAGTAGGCATGCTTTATGCAAATCAGAGATAAGTATAGGGTTTTTATATGGGGAAAAACATTGGACTCTTATAGTTACTGTCTCTACTCCCAAGAAAGCCATGACTCAAACAATTTACTTTCTGTAAAAACAAACTGAAATTTGTCCTTACTTTGATGAAAACAGGCAGTCTAGACATCAGATAAAGTAAAGGGGATGATTATGGTCTGGTTTGGGGCAGGATATTAGGGAATAGGGAAGGGTTGAGATAGGAACTAAAAAATTTGTCTTCAACTTTTATTTCTAATGAATCTTATATTATTAAAAGAAACCATTCCTTTTAACAATTACATTAGCTGTCCCTTCTTTTGACACTTAGTTTAACTCATGTATAGGAGTGAAACACTTTACAATAATAAGAATTCTTTTTTAAACTATAGCCTCTGGGAGAGAGAGTCTGGCCTACCTTTATTATTATTATTATTTTAACAGTTTCACATCATACATTCCACCCATTTAAAATGTAAAATTCAATGATTTTTAGTACATTCACAGAGTTATGCAATCATCACCAACATAAATTTTAGAATATTTCACCACTCCTAAAAGAAACCATGTACCCAGGAGTAGTCACTCTTCACTTCCTCCTGACCTCCCTGGTCTCAGTTAACGACTAATATACTTTCTGTCTCTGTAGATTTGCCTATTCCAGACATTTCATTTAAACGGAATCATACAGCATGCAGTGTTTGGCTTCTTTCACTTACCATAATGCTTTTGAGGTTCATGTTGTAGTGTGTACTCTTTCATTTTTACGCTGAATAATATTCTGTTATATGGATACACCATGTTCTTTAATTCTGTTCATCAGTTGATGACCATTTGTGTTGCTTCTACTTTTTTGGCTATTATTGATAATGCTGGCATGAATACTGATGTACAAGTTTTGGTTTGAACATATTTTCAATTCTCCTGTGTTTAGACCGAAGACTGGAACTGTTGAGTTATATGGTGTCTTAGGCTGAGTTCTCCAGGGAAACAAAACCAGTGAAACTTGTATATACATAAACTCACTGCTATCAAGTCAATTCCACTTATAGTGACCCCTATTGGGTTTCCAAGACTTTAAATCTTTAATCTTTAAATACCTTATCTTTCTCTCTCAGAGTAGCTAGTAGGTTTGAATCACCCAACTTGGGGTTAGCAGCCAAATGCTTTGCCCACTATGTCACCAGAGCTCCTTTGTATATATGTGTAAAAAAAAAAAAAAAAAAATTCACTGCCGTTGAATCGGTCACAATTCATAGCAACCCTTCCTTGGGTTTCCGAGGCAGTATCTCTATAGAAGTAGATTGCCCAGTCTTCCTTTTGAGGAGTGGCTGGTGGGTTTGAACCACCAGCCTTCTGGTTAACAGTCAAATGCCTTAGGCACTACACCACCAGAGCTCCTTATCTCAAGGAAATAGCTCACACAGTTGTAGAGGCAGGAAAGTCCCAAATCTATCAGTCAGATGTCAGGCTGGAGGTTTTTCCTGACTCTTGTAGTTATAAGGATGGACAACCCAAGATCAGCAGGTCAGACAGCAGGCTGCTGGCTCACATCGCATGGAGGCAAACAAATCTAAGATTGGCAGGTAAAATGGCAGGCTGTTGGCTCACAGGCAGCTGAAGTTAACAAAGCCAAGATTGGCAATCAATATAGCAGTCCACTGGTTGAAGTCCAAAGAACTAGAAGTCAGATGATGAGAGCCAAATGTATGATCGAGATCAAGCAAAGAGCTAGAGAGCTTTGCTAGAATGTCCATATATATACTGGATGCAGGACACCCCTTCAAAAGGAAACTCTCTTCAAATGGTTGGGTGCTCAAAGAAGATCTCATTATGGAAGTGATTACATTAGATCAGATCTAATCATGGAGGATGACTACATCATAACTGCCAAACCAGTGAGAATCATGGCCAGGCTGAGCAAACACAACATTAACCATTACATATGGCGACTCTATGGTTTAATATTTTGATGAACTGCCAGACTGTTTTCTAAAGCAGTTGAACCATTTTATATTAACATCCACAGTATATGAGGATTTAAATTTTTCCTAATATGACTATATGTTGTTGTTGTTATGTGCCGTCGAGTCGGCCCCGACTCATAGCGACCCCTCCTTGGGTTTCCGAGGCAGTATCACTACGGAAGTAGGA